TCATCATCATCATCATCATCAGCATCATCATCATCAGCAGCAGCAGCATCATCATCGTCATCATCATCAGCATCATCGTGCGCCTATAGCCTATCCCTTTTATTTCCCTTTTTCACCTCCTTCGCCCCCCTTTCCCACTACAAAAAACATCGTCACGCCATAGGGGTTGTCGACAAAACGGGCTGGCTGCTCTGCCTGAAAAGCTCCTCGTGGCCGATATTCATAAAAATTGGCACTTCACGCAGCTACGCGGGCTGGATCGGGACTCGCATTCAAGATGTCGTCCACGCCTGAACGTCGTGCACAGTTGTGGGGGCATGTTTGGCCAGTTGCACGGATGGAAGGCATGACGTTGTCAAAATGAAGTTGTCGCCGCAGCATCGCGCCATTTCCGAACAGCTACGCGCATGGAAGGCAGAACATTGTTCGAAATGCGGCTCTCGTTCAAGTTTTATGACTCGAAATGTGACATGCAATGCCAGGTTGGGATTAACAAGTCAATTGGGGGCGCATGCTGGAACGACACCAAACAACGGTTTCGACTTGCTCGGGCGAAATTCCGGGGGGTGGCGCCCGCCAAACTGAAACAAAACGGCAGCGGCGCCGGCGTTTAGCGCCGACGCCCGGCCGCCAGCGAGAAGGCGACAGAAACAGCACAGACTGGGGGGGGGGGCGGAGGCAAGGACGGCAGAAACAAAGACCGTGAGCCAAGGCGACACCTGTTCGAAATGAAAAAAAAACTGCTGCCGGCGCTCGCACCCGCACTTTCCGTGCTGTGTTTTGTCGAACCGATGCGCCTCTTTTGCCCTGGCCGCAGCCAAGGGGGCGCCAGCTGCAGCCTGGCCCTGGCCCTGGCCCCCAGCCCCAGCCTTGGCCCCAGCCCTGGCCCCCCCCCCCCGCCCCGCCGGCCACAGCCTAAGCCTCCGGGCCCCGGCCCCGGCCCCGGCTCTGGCCCCGGTCCCGGCCGCGGCCCCGGCCGCGGCCCCGGCCGCAGCCCCGGCCCCAGCCCCGTCGCCTCCCAGACGCCCGCCCCCGAGGAGACACACTGCGTTCCTCCTCCCCCTCCTCCTCCTCTTCCTCCTTCTCCTCGTCCTCGTCCTCGTCCTGGTCCTCGTCTTCCTCCTCCTCCTCCTCCTCCTCCTCCTCCTCCTCTTCTTCTTAATGTTATTCTTATTCTTCTTGATTTTATTATTATAAGTCTTATTATTATTATTATTATGTTTATTATCCTTCTTATTCTTCTTAATAATACGATTATTCGTATTCTGATTGCTAGTATTATTCTTGTTCGTATTTATTATTATTATTAGTATGCTTATTCTTATTATTATTGTTATTATCATTAGCATCATTATTATTATTATTATTATCATTATTATTATTATATTATTATTATTATTAGTAGTAGTAGTAGTAGTAGTAGTAGGAGTAGTATTTTTCCTCCTCCTCCTCCTCCTCCGGCTGCTCCTCCTGCTGCTCCTTCTCCTCCTCCTCCGCGTCCTCCTCCTCTTTTTCTTATTTATTATTATTATTATTCCTATTCGGATTCTTCTTAGTATTGTTAGTATTCTTCTTATTCGTATTATTACTATTCGCCGTCTTCTTGTTATTGTTGTTATTCGCTGTCTTATTATTCGTATTCTTATTACCATTCGTACACTTGTTAGTATTATTAGTATTATCATCATTCGTCGTCTTATTATTAGTATTATTCGTACGGCTTTCTTAATAGCATTCGTATTATTAATCTTTCTTATTCGTATCATCATTCGTATTATTATTCGTCTTCTTCTTTTGCGTCTTCTTATGATTCGTTTTCGTCTTCTTAGTATTCTTAATATTCCTCCTCTTCCTCCTCGTCCCTTCCTCCTCCTCGTCCTCCACCTCCTACTCCTCCTCCTCCTCCTCCTCCTCAATTTCCTCCTCCTCCTCCTCCTCTTCCTCCTCCTCCTCCTCCTCTTCCTCCTCCTCCACCTCCTACTCCTCCTCCTCCTCCTCCTCCTCCTCCTCCTCCTCCTCCTCCTCCTCCTCCTCCTCTCCTCCTCCTCCTTTCCACCTCCCTCCTCCTCCTCCTCCTCTTCCTCTTCCTCCTCCTCCTCCTTTTCTTCCTCCTCCTCCTCCTCCTCCTCCTCTTCCTCCTTTTCCACCTCCTTCTCCTCCTCCTCCTCCCTTCTTCCTCCTCTTCCTCCTCCTCCTCTTCTTCCTTTTCCTCCTCCTTTTCCTCCTCGTCCTCCTCTTTTTCGTATTCCTCGTCTTCGTCCGCCTCCTCCCTCCACCGCCCGCTTCATGTCCCAAGCTTGTGGCAGGGTCATCAGCTCGCCGTTGTCGTTTTGTCGTCGTGGTCGTCGCCGTGGTCGTGGTCGTCGTCGTTCTTTTGGGTCGGCGGCACAGGCCGTCAGACCTTCACAATGAAAAAAAAACTGCTGTCGGCGCCCGCACCCGCATTTTCCGTGCTCTGTTTTGTTGAGCCGATGCGCCTCTTTTGCCCTGGCCGCAGCCAAAGGGGGCGCCAGCTGCATCGCGGGCCCGCGAGCAAAGCGGGCTGGACGAAAAGGGGGCGTGGCGAAACGGGAATGTGCCAAGCAGCTCACGCTGCTGGTTTACCGAGCGCCTCCCGGCGCCGAAAGCGGCCATGCAGCGAGGACTGGCCCTTCGGCGGGGCGACCGAAACCAGCTGCGCGCAGCAGGTTTCGCAAACCCCCCTTTCCTTCCCTAGCCTTTCGCCCGACCCGAGCAAGGCGGGCAGTCCTCCTCCCCTCGTCTGTCGTGGTCTGTTTGCAGTCGTCGACGACGACGACGCGCAGGCCCGGTGTAGCCGACGACGACGACGACGAGGACGGTGACGAGGAGGACCAGGACGAGAACGAGAACGAGGACGACGACGGCGCACGGCGTACGGACGGCGACGGCGACGGCGACGGCGACGGCGGCGGCGGCGACGACACAGTGCGGATGCCACAGGGGGAGGATTGGTTGCGCAGGCACGCTGTAGTCGACGGCGACAACGACAACGACGACGACGACGACGACGACGACGACGACGACGACGACGACGGCGGCGGCGGCGGCGACGACGGCGGCAGCGACGACGACGACGACGACGTGCGGATGCCGCATGGGGGGAGGGGGGTGTTGCGTTGGCCCGCTGTAGTCGACGACGACGACGCCGACGACGACGATGACGACACGACGACGACGACGCCTGAGAGGGGGAACACAATTCGCCTAGGATGTTTACGACCGCCTTGTAACAACTCCCATGCGAAAGGCAATCGTTTTGAGGCTACCATGCGGGGGGATACACGATCTCCTCGGCGGTGCCCGCGACGACCCCCCGGCGCGAGTGATTGAAAAAGGTTTCGCGCCCCGCGTGATTAAAACATGTTCAGCGCCCAGGGAGGGACCTCATGTGTTAATCACACACTGACATTCAACAGATAAACAGATGGAAAGAAGACGGCTCATTGTAAAAACTGTGCTCTCGCCTGAATGGCATGTCGATGCGGCGTTCCTCTTTCAAGGTGCCACTCCACGATGTGAGACTTGAAAACATGCTTGCAGTGACCTCCGCGGAGGGGACTTGCGAGCGCTGGGGGTGTATTGCAGCAGCGTTAAAGCATCATTGCCCTGCTCTGGCCTGTCCCTGCTTGCCCTCGTTCTCCCGCCCCTTCTGCATGAAGAAAACTCTGGTGACCTCGCGCGGCAACTTGAGACCCAATATGCGTCGGATCCACGCCGGATTTGCGTGTCACGTCGGATGTACGTCGGATTCACGTCGGGCTTACGTCGGATTATCGCCGCGCGAACGCCGACCCATATCTTACGGAACGCACGTGTGGAATAGGTGATACAATTATTGTGCACCGCGTGATGCCTCTAAGATGATCCCCTTAGTAGCCATTCACCTTGCTCCAGTTCCTTCTCCACGTCCCTCGAAATTACCCGTGAGCCGAGAATGACTGAGCTCGCTCAAGACTTAAAAGGTACCCCAAACCATGTTCAGAGAAGAGACGGCCATCGGCTAACAAAAGCTTCAGACTGTGGAGCGAATTGCGGAGAGTCCGTGCTGCCAGAAGTCAGCATTTGTCCCAACAACGGGCCACATCCTACAGAAAATCAGATGGCCGAAGCCTGATGCCAGTGGCCGTTGTGGAACCAGTCCATGGGGTTCTGTTCCTCCCATCGTGCTTAAAGACCACACCCCAGAAATAAGTTCGAGCACACGGAAAAGTGTCGAAAGAGTGTCGAGACAGTGTCGGACGAGTGTCTCCCAGGGCCCGACGAGTGAAAGCCCAAGAGTTCAGGTATGTTTGCTCTGGCGCTCGCAGTCATGCCTGGTGGTCGAGGCTCAAGCAGGTCGGAACATCACAACCAGTGGGGTGGTGCCTCTGGCCGCGAGGAAACGGAGGAGGCGGAGGAGGCGGCGGCGGAGGAAAGAGCGGGAGGAGGAGGGCTGCCTGCCCTCCTTCCAACTCGGGACTGCCGCCACGGAGACCTCACCAGACGATGACCGCCCCCTGGGCGCTGGCACGCCCGAGCGCCGTCCCGTGCCGGGTGACGCTCGGGCGTGCCAACGCCCAGAGGTGAGGAGCCCCGTCGATGGGCTCTCGGAGGCGGTGCGCCCTGCTTCGGCGCCTCGGCGCTGAGAACGTGAGGGATGGGTCCACGAGGACAGGACGGGACCCCGGGTTGAATTTACATCGTACGAGGCCCCTGGCTTTTACGGCCCCATAAGAAGCCGCCCAGTTGGGATCGGGGTAGATGGGAGCGGGGGATCTCGCCGCATCGACGACGCATCGGCGATGAATCGTCGACGTATTGGCGATGCATCGACGCCGCCGTCGTAGAGAAAATCGTGCTTCACAGCGAGCCGCATTGGCGATGCGGCGCGATCCTCCGATCACGTCTTCAGAAGACGCTCCTGGGAGCCTTTCGTAATCACCTGAGTGGCCGCAGTGGCTCCTCCAATGGCCACCATTGGACCAGCGGCCGCCGCAAGC